CTGAGTCATTTTGGTGTCACCCACTCTTGAAAAGTCAGATATATATATATTTTACACGCATGCACACAATTCTGCTAGTTGTATGTTAAAATACATTTCACAACTATAGATACAAACATAACAGGATTTTGTGGTTAGTTTTTTCATTTCTGCCTTCAGTTCAGGTAAAGGCAGAACCCCGGCCTCCACCCCTTCTAACCACTCACTAGCATTAAAACAAAAAGCAATCCCATCCAAAAGCCTTTTACTCCCCTAAATCCACAGTCACGTGACACTCCAGCCCTGAAGTCTTCTCTTCTGTGCACAGGAGATGGGGTCCTTCTTTGGGGGTCCATGCCACTGCTTTGCATCATGCAGTTTAAGGGCCCATTTACACCTATCTATTGTGGTATGGCACACCCAATACATATGCCTTGCAACCCTCAGCCATACACTAGCATGAATTGTACTGTATTGGAAAAAATGTTGTACCTCCGATTTTTGGTCTGAATGAGTCCTAAAGCATATCTATCACATAACAATACAAAAGCAGAATAACATGAAAGGTGAATAGCAAGCAGCCTCCAGTGTCCTATCTTATCTTCAGCATTCCTTACCACCAAGCTAACATGGCATAGTAGCCAGAGTTTATGGTTATCTGGTCAACATGCATCCATCCCCATCCCACAATGCAATACTCGGTGCCTGCATGACAAAGAACATGAGCACTGTTGGGTGGGGAATCGGACTAGCAATACTCAAATACCAACTCAAACATGTATGAATGAAGGGTGTGGGAATAGTCTGCCATTTAACTGACAAGGGGACCCTCGAGACACAGGACACTAAGGGAGACCGCCAGCCCCACACAAAGCTACGGGAGAGAGCAAGCCCCACAGAACCCCACGGGAGAGAGCAAGCCCCACAGAACCCCACGGGAGAGAGCAAGCCCCACAGAACCCCACGGGAGACAGCCTGCCCCACAGGAGACAGCCTGCCCCACAGAACCCCACGGGAGACAGCCTGCCCCACAGAACCCCATGGGAGACAGCCTGCCCCACAGAACCCCATGGGAGACAGCCTGCCCCACAGAACCCCATGGGAGACAGCCTGCCCCACAGAACCCCATAGCAAGCTACAGCAGACCACCCCACAGAATGCTACGGGAGACCGCCTGCCCCACAGGAAGCTACTGGAGACCACCTGCCCTGCAGAACCCCATGGAAGACCACCTGCCCCACAGGAAGCTACGGCAGACCAGTCCACAGATCCCTCATAGGAAGCTACAAACAACCACCCCACACAGAAAGCTACGGGAGACAGGCCCATAGGAAGCTCCTGCTCAGTAAATAAATGTTATTCACATGTGTAATGTTCTAAAAAAAATTGCAGCGCAAGGTGTCAGTGTCTCTGGAAAGGCTAATCCCCCCCCCCCCCCACACCATAAAGTCACCTAATCTGCACTCCCTTGCAGCATTTTGCACCTCCGCAGCTGGCAAAAATGCCCAGCACTTCCCTTGTGATGGTGTCCAGGCCTAGCGCTAGACTCAAGCATGATCACTTGACCAGGGGTGTGACACCAATGCTCCCCAGGGTTGCCAATGCAGCTGATCTCAGTGCTGGCTGCTGAGGTGCAAGGAGCTCTGAGGAAGTGCAGGTAAGGCAAGTATATAAATAAGGGGTGCAGGGGATGTCATTTCCAGAGATATTCTCATCTTGCCCTGAATGGGAGAGCAGATAGGAACCCTTAAAAAAAAAAAAGTCACATTAAAAAATGCACCCAGCCAAACATTACAATGGTAACTAAAGCTGTGTTCTCTAAAAATACACACAACCAAGTGAAAGATTTCTGTTTACATGCCACGGCTTATTACACACATCTGCTCCCCGTACTATTCTTAAATAACCCCAAATTAGTTCCCCAAATATGTAACCAGTTTGTGGAATTTCACCGCAACTGCTGAAGACTTCTCTTCAAAACAAGAAAAAAAAAAGCTGCCCATACGCTGCTAACGTCGTCATGGCCGACAGCCACCTTTCCAAAAATATTCCACCATGCCGAGCATGGTGACTGACACTTTACCTTCACTTGTCAGCCTTGAACTTCTTAAAATTTCACAAGCCCCCACCCTCCAACTAGGCCTTGGCCCTAGCCAACGTTCACTCTAGGCCTGATGGGATTTCAAAATGGGAGGAGGAGACAGAGAAAGCTTTTTAGTGATGGGCCAAAGGCCTCCCCCAACAGCTCTGGTCACAAAAAGCTCATTTGGAGAACAGGCAACGTGCTACTCACAGCTGGAAAAGGCCTTGTAAACGTTGCTACTGGAGCCACTCAAACATGCAACCTTGCTCACATGAGGGTTTTTGGCCTGTACCATTCAGCAAGGGTACAGCATACATTATCTAAGCCTAGAAAAAGGTCAACTCGAGTAACACCGTCTTCTATTAGCAACACAACCAACTCAAGACTTGTTCCTAATAATCTACCCTATCACATTAAAAAGCTACAGAATATATAATTATTATTTTTATGAATAATAAATAATATTCATTAAAGCATCTGCCTAATGTTAAGTGTCAAAATACATCAATATACACATTGCATAAATATGCCCAATTGATGCTTACAAAAAGTTTTAAGAGCAACAAAAGATGAATTATACCCAAAATAGATGGCTGGACCACACCGCTTGTTTATATATTTTCTACTTGTAATTTTGATACTCAACCTGATATTCATTTTTTTTTTTTACAAGCTTTGTGTGAGTAGGTATAATGTTGTGTTGAAAGGAATATTTAACAACATGGGCAGAAAGGTTAAACGATTTTTAGAAGGCTAAATTAGTTACTGAAACCCCACATACAGTATGTACATAGACAGCACTGCAAAGTATAAACATTCTATTATTGTCACATGAAAAAGGCAAAAAAAGGAAGCTCTTTAACTAAACAAAGGAAAAAACAAAAGGTTCCATTTTAAACTAGGAAAAAAAAATAAAAGAAAGAAAGTTTGATTTTTATTTTAACAGCTTTATGCATGTTTTATTTGTATGCAATAATATTGTGGTTCTAAAAAAAAAAAAAAAAGGCTGAAATAAAATAGCTATTAAAAAAAATCATATGCAATGTCATTAATTAGCTTATGTGTGGTTCCAAGTAAGATAAAAAAATAAATTAAAAAAAAAAGGGGGGAAGAGGGGGAACTTGTGGTAAACTATATGGCTCTTTAGAACTGCATTAACTCAGCCAATTTAAAGGCGTCCATTACAAGCTTTTAACCACAAACAAAGCAAGATTGCATTCATTCCACAGCAAAATTTGCTCCACGCCCTGTTGCTATAAAACACACTGCTATGCATCATGCCCACTTTGGCAATTACCTAGTTAAATCAATCTGTGCTCTGCCAAATGGGGATTCCAGGAAGATTTGTATCAGGAGCTGACAAGGTTAACAAAAGGCGGACCTCAGAGAATGTTTAACAAAAGAATCAACTTTCAGCTTGCAATGAATGGAGAATATGGAGTCACTAGTTTTGCTGGGGCAGAGAAAAAAAAAGTGCTTTAGACTGTGCTAGGAAGAGAAAGAAAAAAGAAATTGGCAAAAAACACCACCAAACAAAAACAACCTTCCCCAAAACAAAAAAACACTTCATATATAAGGGTCTTTTAAGCTCTAATGTTGTGTTCCAAATGTAATAAGCTTTCAGAATAATGCAAACATTCTTATAAATAATAAGACATTGTAAGCAAAATTAAACTAATAAAGCACTTTGCTAAAATAGCTTCTGTGTTCTGCCCAAAAACATTAAAAAACAAAAAGAAAAAAAAAGGGCTATTTATGAAACCATGATCCTCAAATTTCAAGCTTTGATTAATTATGAAAGGTGAGGGGGCTGCAAGTAAAGAATCCCAACCCCCCTTAAAAAAAAATCAAATGGAACTTGATAAAAAGGTCATGGTGCAAAAGCGTAATTATGGAAGGTGAGGGGGGCTGTTGGATTGTGGTGGCACTGACTGCAAGCATAGAGCCACCAAAAGTAAAACTGAACTTGATAAAAAGGTCATGGTGCAAAAGCGTAATTATGGAAGGTGAGGGGGGCTGTTGGATTGTGGTGGCACTGACTGCAAGCATAGAGCCACCAAAAGTAAAACTGAACTTGATAAAAAGGTCATGGTGCAAAAGCGTAATTATGGAAGGTGAGGGGGGCTGTTGGATTGTGGTGGCACTGACTGCAAGCATAGAGCCACCAAAAGTAAAACTGAACTTGATAAAAAGGTCATGGTGCAAAAGCTTTAATTAATTATGAAGGGTAAGGGGGGCTGTTGGGTCCTGGTGGCACTAACCGACTGCAAGCAGAGGGCCAAAAATAGTAAAAACCAAAATAAAAATGGAATTTGATAAAAGGTCATGGTGCAAAAGCGTAATTATGGAAGGTGAGGGGGGCTGTTGGATTGTGGTGGCACTGACTGCAAGCATAGAGCCACCAAAAGTAAAACTGAACTTGATAAAAAGGTCATGGTGCAAAAGCTTTAATTAATTATGAAGGTTGAGGGGGGCTGTTGGGTCCTGGTGACACTACCTGACTGCAAGCAGAGGGCCAAAAATAGTCAAATAAAAAAATGGAACTTGATAAAAGGTCATGGTGCAAAAGCTTGTAAAAGGCGTAAAGTTTTATTTTTTGTTTGTAATGAAGCTAAAGATAAAAAGCTGCTTACAAGTGCTATCAAAGTCCTTGTTTGTAAAGAACTCCCCCCCCCCAAAAAAAAATAAAGCATTTTTATCTTTAAGCAGATGACGTAGCAAACCAAAAAAAAAGTTATTTTTATAAATCTAAGACACAGCAGCCTTAGAACCGAGTTAGAACATTCTACATTGTGTTTTGTTTTTATATATAAAAAAAGTCAAGATCTGTACTCATTTAAATACAAAATATACTTACAAAAATGTTACAGCTATTATATACATGAAAAAAAAAACATTCACACTGTACAGCTCAGCAGTCCCGAGGTTTAGGGACCCCTCAGACTGTAGTCTCCCCCTGTTTACTGTTGGTGAGTCTTGTATAAAACTTTCTCCACGAGTTGAGCGTTTTGCCCGACCAAATCCAGAAGCCGGACGTTATTCCGACAATCAAAGTCATGAGATACTTGATCATGAAGACCGTAAAATCCGGGCTCATGGGAGGGTGGTTGGTACTGGGGCAAGGGATGGCATAGGTCTTGCAGCTTTGACTCACCCAACTTTTCTCCCATTGTTCCCTGAACGCTTGCTCGTAAAAATAACAAGCGATGACGATGGTGGCGGGGACGGTGTACAGGACGCTGAAGATCCCTATCCTCACCATCAGCTTCTCCAGCTTTTCCGTTTTGGTCCCGTCGTGTTTCATGATGGTTCTAATCCTGAAGAGGGACACAAAGCCGGCCAGCAGAAAGGACGTGCCAATGAACAAGTAAACAAAAAGCGGGGCCAATACAAATCCACGCAGGGCGTCCACGTTATTGATCCCAACGAAGCACACTCCGCTCAGGATATCCCCGTCCACTTGCCCGACCGCAAGGATGGTGATGGTCTTGATGGCCGGCACTGCCCAAGCGGCCAGGTGAAAGTACTGCGAGTTGGCCTCGATGGCTTCGTGCCCCCATTTCATACCAGCCGCCAGGAACCAAGTCAGGGACAGGATGACCCACCAGATGGAGCTGGCCATGCTGAAGAAGTAGAGCATCATGAAGAGGAAGGTGCAGCCCTCCTTCTTGGTGCCCTGTGCCACCGTCTTGTAGCCGTCCTCGGAGAACCGGTCGTTGCAGACCACCTTGTCCTCCAGCAGGAAGCCGGCGATGTAAGCGATGGCCACCATGGTGTAGCAGCCCGAGAGGAAGATGATGGGCCGCTCGGGGTAGCTGAACCGCTTCATGTCCACCAGGTAGGTCAGCACGGTGAAGAGGGTAGAAGCGCAGCAGAGCACCGACCAGATGCCGATCCAGATGCGGGCGAAGCGCAGCTCCTCAGAGGCGAAGTACATGAGCCCGTGGACCTTGCCCAACTCGCAGGGGGCGCCGCAGTCCTTCTCGCCCAGGAAGTGGTAGTTGACGTAGGCAGGCACTTTGAGGGCCCGGGGGCAGGTGAACTTGTCCCTGTAGGGGGAGCGGATGTTGGGGTTGCTGGTCCAGAGCTCGGGCAGGGCAGGAGTTGGGGTACCCTTGTCAGATGTGTTCTGCCCCACGCACAGCTCTCCAGCGCCGTTCACCGGGAACTTCTCGCAGCGCAAGCTCTCCGGCCACTGGAAGCCGAATTTGTTCATGAGAGCCTCGCAGCCCTGCCTGGCCCGCTCGCACAGCGACCTGCACGGCGGCAGAGCCTGCTCCAGCACCGTGCACACCGGGGCGTACATGGAGCACAGGAAGAACTTGAGCTCCGGCGAGCACTGCACCTTCACCAGCGGGTAGAACTGGTGCACCTCCAGCCCGGCGTCCTCCTGGTTGGTGTGCCCCAGCAGATTGGGCATGATGGTCTGGTTGTAGGCGATGTCCGTGCACAGGGGGATGGCGATGGGCTGGCAGTAGCCGTGGTCCGGGATGGAGATGCCCTTCTCCCCATTGTACTGAGCCCGCACCGCCGCCAGGCAGCCCCACAGCAGCAGCGCCAGCAGGCTGGAAAGTTTACAGTATTATTATTATTTTGTCCCCTGGTGCCATTATTATTTAAAAAATAATAATAAAAATTATGACACTACGGGACATGCTAAGGTGTCATATTGCTGTATAAAAATATTGTTTTCATAAATATTTTTATACAGCATTATGCAATAGCCCAGCAGTGCCACACCTCACCTGACCACCCCCATCCCTCCCCTGCCAGGATAGAAGCCCAACCCAGCAGCCATGTTGACTCACCGTGGACAGGGGGAGGATGAGGCTGCAGCCATGGAGGGTGGAGATTGGGACCGTGCAGCAGTGCGTGCAAAAGCAATCCTTCCTCCTCTGCTGAGTGGGAGGTGGCAACCCGGGTTGCAGAGATTGTTGATGCACATAGAGACAGGAGGGTGCTGCCCTCTAGCGTCAGGATGGGGAAGTGCAGCAGAGGCAGCTGGTCCAGAAACTGCTTCAGCGCTAGTTTATGGGGTACAGGGCCCCACAACAATGACTGGGCCCGGGGCACATGGCACTTTTGCCCTGCCTTAAAGACGGCCCTGAGTGCACAGACCTTATACGGTGCATAATGTGTTGGGCTGGTGTGAAGGAGCTCTAAAAAGAGAACTGTGTGGTAAGTGTTTTTCCCCATAGTTCTCTTTAGGGTCACGGGAGGACATATACTAACCTCCTCCCGTGACCCAAAGCTCAGTATATAGCGAGCTATTGCCCGCGATATACTGAGAGCGCCACAGCCGGGACGGATCCCGACAATACTGTCATGATCCACCCAGCTGTGTGAGTGAAAGCTGGCTCTGCCTATCTAGAGGCAGAGCCAGCTGTGCCTACCCCCTCCCCATCTATTCCTTCACTCAGCACAGGAGGATCGGAGAAGGGAGGGGGGAATCCGTGTGGGAGCGGTGACTGACAGTCACTGCAGGGAGACGATTGGGAAGATAGCGGATCGGTGGCATGTTTCTGCTCACTTCCCGATCAATAGAGCTGACCTGTGACAGCTTCTTTATCACAGGTCGGCTCTAACTATGAGGATGAGTGGAAATCACTCACCTTATAGTTCTCCTTTAAAGAATGCGCTGAGATGTATAGAGTTTAATCAGATGTAATTTTTCAATGAAGTTCAATAAACGTTTAACAGTGCAATGAGTTTTAACAATGCGTTGCACCGCCGTTCACATTGCAAACCAGTGCATGTATCTTATACGGTGCATAACGTGTTGGGTTGGTATGGACCTTTACCTCCTTTCACTAAAAATCACATCAGCATACAGCTCTGCATGCTGATATGAAATCCTCTTACATTCATGAGTTGAACTTGTTTTCCATTTACTTACAAATAGAGTTCACCTACTTCCTGGTCCTCTTCGGCATTAGTAATGTAATGGGCCCAAGCGTTGCATCCTGGGAAGGTTACATCAGCAGAGCATTGCTGGGAAATCTCATGTGTATTCTCACGAGATTTCAGGGAAAGGCATTTTCCTCCCCTGAGATGATGTCCCTGGTCACATTCTAGTCACATGGCCCAGAGTTCCGGGAAGTAAAGGGAGATATATTAATCTGCCCTTAGTAAAAATGGCCACTTTGAGAAGACTGAGGAAGAAAAGAGAAGTAAGATATGCAAAGAATAAAAAAGCCGTCATTTATCTAGAAGTATGTGTTTGTAGATTGTCATTACTAAACATTTTTAAAGGTGTGCTTGTTGTTATTTGGAAGATTTGGGTAAAGTTCCTCTTTAAAGTGTCACTAAACCTAGAACAACGCGCTGAGATGTATAGAGTTAAAACAAATGTAATTTTGTTATATTTCAATAAAGTGCAATAAACAGTGCAATGCATTGTTACAACATGTTGTACTGCCGTTCACAATACACACCAGCACACAGGCCTTAGACGGTGCTTAAGGTCTCAGACTGGTGTGAAACAAGCCCTTTAAGTGTCACTAAACCCAGAACAATGCACTGAGATGTATAGAGTTTAAACAAATGTCATTTTGTAACATTTAATCACTTCAAAATCAAAAAAGTAAATGATTGGCTGTACAAACTTGTCACATCGCACTTCACAATGCACAGCAGCGCACAGGCGTTCATGGTGCATACTGCATGTGGCTGGAGTAATTGGGCCATTAAAGTGACACTAAACTCAGGAGTTAAAGCTTAAAAATACATTCAAGTAACATTACTGCATCTTTTTTGTGTATCACTCGGCTGTAGATCCTCAAATCATCTCTGAATTGGTGCTGACACTGTCCTTCCTTCTGGAGGGGGGCTACTTTTGTTCCCCATGGTCCCTGTGTGTGTTGTAAAGTTGTCACTGCTCCAAGCTCACTCCCGGGATGGACTTCAATCTCAATACAGATTAGTAAACTAAACACGAGATTGTAGTCCATCACAGGAGTGAGCTTGGAGCGGTGACTACTTTACAACACACACAGTGACCATGGGGAACACAAGTAGCCCCCCTCCAGAAGGAAGGACAGTGTCAGCACCAATTCAGAGATGTTTTGAGGATCTACAGCTGAGTGATACACAAATAAGATACATTTTTGTTAATAGTTAGGGTACTTCGTGTATTTTAAGACTTACCTACGGAGTTTAGTGTCACTTTAAAGCCTTGGTCTCAACTGGAGGGTTGTGACCCAAAAGTGGGTTGCGACCCTGTGTTCAGTGGGTCGTCGCATGCCTTCCACTTTTCTAGGTGGGAGGGTCCTCTGCCTCCCCCTAGCGTAGCACTGTCAGTCCTCACGCCGAGCAGCCATTCAAAATATGCTGCCCGCTGCCGAGTGTCAGCTTGAGGTGGGGTGGGGTTATGGCCGTGAGGGAGCTCCATCCATACGTGCATTGCCTACAGCACCCTTGCGTGTCCTATAGAGGTGCCTGGACCGGAGTGATGTCACATCCTGGCTCCTGGCACCTGTACAGGTGATGCACATATGGATGGCACTCCTTCACAGCGCATTCTGGTGTGGGAGGTGCATTGCATTGCTATTCATTTGAATGGTATCCCAAATGTAACTCCCACCCACAGTCCTATCGCCCCCACATCAGAACACGTGGTACCACATGCCGTGCGTTCCATTACAGTTTCGGTAAGGAGTGCGGTATGGTTCCTGTTTCTGTCCACCCTAGAACCAGTCTGTGTGGCTGGTGGACTGGGGAGCAGCAGCCTTTGTGGCAATCTGCCTGTGTGGCAAAGCAGCAGCCTGAGTGGCAATCCGCCTCTGTGGCCAACGAGCAGTCTTCCTGTGTGGCCAGTGGACGTTTAAGTTAAAGGACCAACTTGAAGTCGGTGAGACTGAAAACTGTTGTTATTGTGACAGAAAACAGTTCTTTATGTTTGAAAACCCCTGCGAGGGAACACCTGTGTGGACTTTTCTTTTGAATTGAGCGTTAATAAAAGTGGGCAAAGAAGGCCTTACAAAGTGAAAAGTGAGTGGCAGTGTACTGAATGCGCTACCATTTGAAGCGAATCCTCACAATATATATATATATAACCTTTAATATTAGTCACCTGTGCCATTTGTAGTGTCGCACAACACATCCAAAAAAGCATATGGACTACAGAGATAAGTGCTAATGCATCCAGCGTCGGCACGTAAAAGAACAGTTAAAATGTCCAGTCATATTCATAATACTGACACCCACACAGGCTAAATAAAGGGAAATGGGGACACATGTTCAGTACAAACAGATAGCGCATTGCAAACTGGGAATTGCAGTTAGCAGAGAGCATGGTACATGACCGCAATATAGCGTAAGTGCACCAGTCGTACCCACAATCCAGAAGTTGAAGTGACATTAAAGACACAATTATTCCCCACCCCCACAATGCTGGAGTAAGGACTTACCGTAAATGATGCCTCTTGATCTGATCATCTTCTTTTCAGTAGTTTTCAGGCGTCCCTCCAGTGCTGGTGCCGGTCTCTGATCTGTGTCCCACGGTGCCTGTCCGCATGCACGCTCCCAGCTGTGTGCATTGACGTAAGCTGCCCATACACCTTGCGATCATCAGACAACACTTTCGTATGGTGGCCCCATCCTGCCCCGATTATTGCAAGGTTGGATCAGCGGTAATTAGAAGAAAGCACCTGGACGAATTGCGGTAATCGACCGCACGTATTTTGTTGACGGAAACGTCACCAACCTCCCGAAAATCATATGATCGACCGAAGTTTTTTAACCTGCTGGAAAAGTCAAAAGTCAATCAGTTGTACGCTGCCCATCAACCTTACGAATATCGGACGAAAACGCGATTGCATACGAAAATCAGCCGATATTCGTAAGTTGCATGGGCACCTTTACACTGTGTCTCTCCTCTTCTCCCCACTGATGATCTCTACTGCGGATGCGCCCCCGCCCATGATCCTGCTCGGCCGCTCGACAATCCTTAGACGGGAGTGAGCGGTGATGACACAGGTAAGTAATAGCTTTTTTGTTAACTTTTTTATTTTTTGTAAGGTTTTTGCATGTCTACTGCTTGCAAGCAGTAGAAACATAAAAAAAAAACCAGAGGGGGGAATCGATCAAAACTGGAGCAGACAAGATTTGCACTGCAGCCAATCAGCCCCTCTCATTTTCAAATCTTGCCTGAGCAAACTGAAGTGAGATGCTGATTGGTTGCCATGGGCTACTGCTCCAGATTCTGTCTGCTCCAGTTTTGATAAATTCCCCCCAGAGTGTTTAACTGTACTTTAAGGAAAAAGAGACTCCATCGGAGTGCGCAATTATTAAAAGACAGAGGAATGGTATGTGCTTGTCATTTTAATACATTGATATACTGGTAGTGTAGTTATGTACACTGGACTAGATTAGTATTTTATCTTGAAACTTTGAGAGACTCTGTAAGCTGGCCAGATACGGCTGGAATTCTGGCCAATTCCTGTTCAATCGTCTCAAATTTGAGCCGTGGGTGTAGCTGACGGCACCACCTTGCCTTAGAAAAAAGCGGCTAAGTTGGGTGGAAAATTCTCAGCCGGTCAGTGACTGCGTCCTATCATTAGCCGTGACTAGGAA